TGTTAGGGGAGTGAAAGGTTTTGTTTGTTTGTATATTGTGTGTTTATTGTGTGTAATTTTGTACAGCACCTTGAGGTACTTTTAGTGTGAAGGGTGCTTTATAAATAAAAAAAACTTATACTGAAATTAAAACCTGATATAAAACTAAAAAAAGTTGATTTTGCATAATACCACCCTTTTTAAACATCTGAGGATCATAAGTGGTAGGGCTGCTTTAGTTTGTTGACCTTTTGAAATATCGTCCACCATGTGGAGGCAGTGCTTATAAGGCTGAGTTCACCTGAAACTCCTCAGACTGAAGAAGTCTCTTGGAGGAGAGAAGAAACGTTTCATTGCAGAAGAACCCATCCAGAGGACCTACTTATTTTTTCTTTTTGATCAGCCATTTTAATCTCAACACCCTGGTTAGTGGATTTGGGCTCCAGTATTTGTTCAGTCTCCAAAAACTCCTCACAGTGGCTATTTGCTTCTTGGTTTATTGACTGGCAAAGGTCTTGTAATTACTTAGCTTGACTGGATAACAAGATATAGGAAGCTTTTTGGTATTTTCTGATTGTGGGACCTTATTTTCTTTAAAACCTTTTAAATGCTACTGAAAACTTATTGCATCGGTCTCCAGATCTTTGCCCAGGCCAAGTCTTATCTCATAGATCTATCGACAGTTCTCTCACCCGCCTCGGGTCAGTTTTAACTCTGAAAATAGGTGATCAATTCTGAGACTTTAGAGATAAGTGCCTTCCTAATTATATCCAGTGAAGTAAGTTCAGACACTGGTCGGTTCGGYGCACCAAGGATGTAGTAGAGTTCAGCTGTATTGTAGCAAAGAGCATAATGAATAATTGTATAAATCAGGGCTATTCAACTGGCGGCCCGTGGGCCACATCCAGCCYGTGAGTGACCAAAATTCGGCCCGCCAATTGGTTCACTCATCTCTTAAGCCCAAACCCCCGGTTTTCTACTTTAATTACTCTAAGTTATTGCAGTTAAACATAGACATGTTTATTATCTACAGAAACATCAGAATCTTGGCTACAAGCTGGTAAAAAACATTTATATGAACATCCAAGACAGTTAAAACTACAAGCAGTTTAAGATAAAACTATGAAAAGGAAAAGAAAATTGGTTTAAAAAATTTGGCAAGTCAGAGATGTCTAAAATGTTTTGTGGTAAATAAGAGGCATAATATGTTTCTTTTTTTTTGTTTTATAATCACTACATTTATTAAATAGGGTTCTGTATGTTTTCATGATTAAATACAGCAAAATAAACTATTTCAAAAGTAACAGATCTTTGTAATACTTAGTTTATTTACATAACTTTAATTGCTGGTCTGCATTAACTGTGSCCCCCCGGAGCAATTTAGTTGAATAGCCCTGGTATAAACGATCATGAATCTTCCACAAACCTACAACTGCTTTGTTCCTGTATGTTGAAACTTGATGTACGAGATTCAGCTGTCCATTGAGGTTTTTACTAGTCAGTTTGACATGCGCCGTGTTGTGGTAGTTTTTCATATTCTGCGAAGTTCTCTGCTTCCACTTTCAGTGATAAACAATACGCCCAGGACYTCACTCTTGACAAAACCCTGGAAATGTAGGCTTCATCTGAGTATCCTACCTGGCTGACAATATCCCAGAATTCATTGCACCGTCAGCAAACGAAATGAAGAGGGTTGCTTTTTAGGGTTGCTTTATTGTTTTTAGGGCTTTTTAGGGTTGCTTTTTTTATTTTTACGGCAAAAATTGTTTTCATGGCTGAGTTTGGAAATTGATCACACAACAAAGAATTTGTTTTTAAACGTATGCATATGTTTTAAACTTAGTTTATGACAGTTTTGCTGCAATGAGATGTTAAATAAAATGCAGTTACAAGTACTGATACTAGAGCTAAACCCAAATTATTAATGCTTTTTATTTATTTACGTGTAACAATTTTCTAATAATACTAGTTATACCGTGAAAAAAAAAAACAACTGAAGGCATGTAATATAAAACGTATCACCATGGTAATGGGGCAGCGTGTGGTCATATCAACATACATTATCTGTAGACTAGACTGTCTCACTTCACAGCCATTTATGCAGCCGACATGAGCGGCGTACGGCCCATGTAGGGTGTGGCTAACATGGGCAACCCCTGAATTAAGACACAGCCATTTTCTCTTTTTGCTAGCCTAAGCTAACAGTTTTTTGGCTTTAGCCTGCCTCATTAATGGGGACCTTCACTCAGACTATTTTTAGAACTCGAGTCACGTGACTATGTCCGCTTTTCACTGGTGCACGTACAAACTCTCGTAGCAGCTCCATTGATTTCAGTGGTTGACCAGTTTACCTGTGTTTAAACCTAAATAAATTGGGGAAAACAGCATCAAACTTTACCGGGAGGATCACAAATCATTGCAGTATGGTTTTTGTAACAGTGACCCAGGATACAGCCACTATCCCCAGATGGAAGAACTATTTTTTGTCACATCCAAAGCTAAGATGCAGGCTAACAGCTGGTTTCCAGTGATGGGACGAGCTAAATTTGAAGGAAAAAAGTGCAACCATAAACTTAAGGTCAGCTCCAAACATTTTATTGGAGGTAGAAGACCAACACTGGACCACTCGGATCCTATCCCTGCACTCTGTCTATAAACAGGTACAGTAAACCTTGTTGTTTTTACTGTACTCTACTGCTAGCTTTACGGTAGCATCTGTGCTAGCCCGTATACGTCGCTCTTCTGCAGTTAATTGCACATACGGGACTAATGTAAAAATTTTAAACCACTAAGTTTCTTTAATGATGCAGAATTTGTGGCTCAAGTGATGAAAATACACACAGGCTGTGTCCAAAAYGACAGGCCGGGTCCTCCGGAGGACCCAGACTACCCGGTCGCGGTGGGCCGGGTCCTTGGTAGACCGGGAAGACCGGAAAAAAAGAGGCTGTGAATTTGGA